TTCCTTCCTTCCTTCCTTCCTTCCTTCCTTCCATGTTAGCAACATGGTTTTTTAAGTGACTCTGGATTCTCCATTACTTTTCCTTGTCAGAAGATTGTGAAAATCACATGATCTCTGAGACACGGCAACCAATGTAAATACATGCCAGTTGTCAAGTGTCCGAATTTTGATCACCTGGCCATGGAGGTGCTGCATTGGATGTAAATGTGAAAATTGGTCATAAGTAACATTTTCCAGTGCTATTGTAACTTCCAACCATCACTAAACAAAGGGTTATTAATGGATGACTATTGAGAATGGAGCACTGTAGATTCTCAGCATTTTACTGTGCTACTTCTCACACTTAGAGTATCTTCAGGTTGAACTGAGAGTGGTTGAGTAAGTTTCCTATTTTTTGGCTTTTGCAGGAAGCTTTGTCTGCAGGCAGGTGTGATGAACTTAGACCCATAGAAAGCAGAACTCCAATACAGGCAGATTACTCAAAGAATAGCTTTATTGGATATATCATATTGGCACAGATCTGGTGAAAACCAAGTCTGAAGGTTGCCACGGTTTTCACCTAATTAAGAGTAAAAGTTTGTCACTTTCTCAAAACAATCAGTCACATGGTCCAATCATGGGGCTGTCTTGTTGCCTGGTGACATCACTCCACCTTCCTCTGACCAGGTGTGAGAATGTCCTTTGTTCCCAAGAGGAAGTATTTTGTTTTGGCTACAAAATCCCAGCTATCTCAAATCCCTCCTCCCTATCCCTCAGCTCCAGTGTGACAACATGGAAGCCTCCAAGATGGGTTCAGTCCATCCAGCTTCAGGTTGAGACTTGAGTCTGATAGGAGTAGGCAGTGAGAGGTGCTGGTTTTGGCCCTGGCTGGTCACCTCCAAAAGACAGAGTGGAAAAAGGGAGCAGTCTCGATTTTGATTTGTTATAGTTATTTTTATATTCACAGCATCGCCTTTCCCTATTAATCAATGACTTAGACATGTAATTAAACAATCAATTGTTTGATTAGTTTACTCTTTGTTCTGTACATTTAATGTTTGGATGCCTGTTTTATTAAGAGTTGCAAATTGTTAAATGGCAGATTTTTATTATAAACTGCATTGAGATTTTTTTTTAAAAAAAGCAGGAAATGGTATGTAAAGAATTTAAAAAATGGCAATATACAAAGCAGTTATGTAAGTATGGTGGAAACAAGGAAAGAATCCAAATGGTGTTGATGTGAGCTAGGTTTTAGCTATGTTAATTTTAGCCATGTTTTCTTTTATTTCTCTTATCTGACGACTTTAGTTTCTTGAGCTGACTATTTCTTATTCCTTTCCAACTCACGGTATTATGTTA